ATGGGGAAGCTGTGAATGGCCAGATGTTGTCTCTTAGCTCTCAGACCTGGTCCCTATGTGCAACCATATGTGCCTGGAATTGCTCTTCTTCACAGAGAATAGGACCACTTACCAATGAGACCTCCATCCCTCCCCTGTAATTCAGTGCTCTCAGCATGTTTGTGACAGGTTCTCTTCCTACCTGAAACTGTAGAACGCTAACTTCAACCCAATCACTGTGTCAGGGTGGCCCAGGGACCTAAAATTGTCATTACCACGTATTGTCTAAGCCCCAGAGCAGTTTAGTTCCTAACAATGACCACTTCTTAAGATAGCTCCTGGTTATATCACTCTGAGAGCTTGCTAGGCAATGTGGTGATTTTTTTCTCTAAAGCTTGCTTATTGTAAAGAAGTACTCTGTCTCAGAACAATGCCCCAAATTTGATTTAAACCTTGTAAGAACCATGTGTTTCTCCCACAGGTAAGACACCATCTGGGTTGTCTGCATTCTCCAGTTTACTTTATACTTACAAGTTGTCTCCCTCACCCAGGCAGCTGGAGATGAAATTGTAAATTGCTTTGTACTTTCCTAGACTGCCTTTCTGCTCTCCATGAAGTTTGTCATGACTTCTTTATCAGCTCCTTTCTTTCTCTTCTCAAAATATAATTGTCCCTTTGTTCCCTAACCTTTTTCACTCAGAGTCACAACAAAGGTGCCTCTTTTCTGCGATTTATTTCCTTGCCCCAAACTCCTATTTTTGTATAATAACAATTCCTGAAAACAATTCCAAGCATAGATTTGATTTGTTTGAGGGGTAAAGTAACATTCTATGGGTGTTGAGCAATGTCAATATCTGACATCAACTTTTTTTGAGAAGTTTCTCAACCTACCTAAAGTAAGTCAAGTTTTGGCATTACATATCCAATCTGAACTCTGAAGCCTAGAATCATTAATGAAATATTTGGAGGCAAACCATGGTCCATCAATTTTCCAGTTTTAATGACCATATGGTTATAATTTCTCCTGGATTCATGGCTGTCACCTGAAGTTTCTGATAATCTCATCCCAGTTTCTTACTCTACCCACTGTGTTCTGATCCTCCCATATATTAGGCAATTAGAACTCAAGTGTGTGTGCTCTATAAGAACAAGTCAGATGCTGGCCCATTGACTTTTAGAAATCATTCAGAAAAAGACACTTTTAACTACTCAAGGTAGGAAACCTGACATTTCTAGAACTGTGTTATCAAATCCTATGGAGAACTCTGCAAATAATAAGTTTAACTCTAATAGCAGCTACATAATAATTTCTATGTGAGACATCTAACTATATTATATTGTGTTTAATTTTTTTCTTATTTTTTACATAATTGATTTTTCTATTTATTTTGGTAGACATTGAAACTTAGCTGCTGCCCTGCTGTAAATGACTCCATGTGTTACACAGCAAGCTCTGAAATCTGAAAGTGGATACCACCAACTGATTTGTTGAGGGGGGAATAGCAAAGGACAAGAAAACACTCCTCTTTTTCTTTGTAAATACAAC